TTTATGACACTTAATGAAAACAAATGATCAGGTGACTGCCGTGTTTTCAATCATGTGCCACGACTTCGAATATTTAGGGTCGTGGTGGGGTCGGAGACTATCCCCGTTGCCATAGGGCGGGAGGCGGGGTACACCCCAGACAGGTCGGCAGGCTATCCGATTGATTGATTGGTAAAACGGTTCTTTTGATGCTGTTTTTTGGCTATTCAATGGGAATAACGTCTCTGGTCTAGCAGTTATATGAGAAACTTACCATGTTATCAATAGCTGCTGCAGCATCCTGCAGAAGATGAGAAAGAAGCCATAAATAGGTTATGAGGACAGAAATATGTTTCTCCTGAAGTCACCAATAACCATTCAAATGACTCACTTTGGTAAATTCCCAGCTCTTAAAACTGCAGATGAACACTAATTAATGACTAATACCCAAGTTAATACTGAGTGATGACGCCACGCCAGAGAACAAACAAAACTACTTCAACAAGGAAGTGGAAGATCATATTAAGATTGAATACATTGTAATTTTTAATTTAAATAAAAGTATACAGAGCAAGATCATCATGTGCATAAAATAATCTGTGATTGGGTCATTTTACCTCAGTTCATCAAATTAAAACAACAACAACAATTATGGATATTTCAAAAATGAGAGAGAACATCAAACTTTTTTGATATAATATGAACACAAACTTCCTCTTCCTAAAAGCGATGACTTGGATTTGGTAGGTAGTGTCATACCTGTGGAATTACACACTCGAGATAAATGACAATGTGTTTTTGTAATATGTGTAAAACCATTCACCTAATGTGAACCCTGGCCTTAAAGATACTATGTGCCTTACTGGGGATTTATGCTTCAGTGTGAAATATTATAACTGCAAACCCCTTTGAAACCCTACATCCTAACCTACAGCATAACATGATGTCCAGCTCCCACAAAATCTAACTACATGTGGGGTCGATGCAGCCCACAGCTACTGTGAGTGGCCTGCCGCCGTCAAGCAAGGAGGGCGATGGCTGAAACTATCAGAGTGGATGTGAGAGAATGTACAAAGAAGTGGAAGAACTGGAGGGACAAGTATGTTTGACCCTTAAAAAAACTGATCATACGAAAGCACAAGGACCCAGGAGAAAAGTACCAGTGTTTTATTTGTTTCTATCATAACTCACAGCATATAAAGCACCAGGACACGACTGTTATCTAACTTTGTAGATAACAGGTTTTTTTAATGATATCGGAGGAATATCCAAACAGCTGCCTATCTTCATCCCCATTAAGTATTTTTAGTAAGATTTTTAATGGCAGCAGGGACCTGACATTTTGCATAATCATTATTAAAAATACATTTTTGCCTGGAATTTTTTTTCAGGAAAACCTGACCTGACATAGAATGACCCAACGATATTTGTTCCACTGCTGTATCATTTACATCAGGGGCGATTTTAGCCCCTTTTTGGGGGTGCTTCAGAGTGCTTTGTTTATATTCTAAAAATGTTTTAAGCTTGTTTCAAAGATTCTGTACTGCAGCTTTAAATGTTT